TGGGGCATGTAATCATTTCCACTTCCGCCGCAGTTCAAGAATTTGAGAAGCATAGCCTGAAATCGCTTGAGGACGACTGCTGATAAGTCGGATTCGCAGGCGGTGAAGCTTCGTTCGCACGCTCAGCATCTAGCATTAGTAGCATGAATAGGCGTAGCGATGGGTAAGGTAGTTCATCCTCTTACTTCCCACTCAAATTCACGGATTCGCTGTGGACAAGTCTCATTTGTTCAGAACAGTACATCTGCAGTCCTGAGATATCGAAGCACGCTTCAAACGACGTCCATCAGTGCATTCCGCGTTGTAATGCAGCACTCACGATGCACTGTAGGCGCCTACGCGGGCAGTTCGCGAGGATTTTACACTGTTTGTCCCTCCTCCCGATGCGGTGGTCAGAACGGCATTCGGATTCGAGCCGGCCATCTGATCACATGCTTTGTAGATGGCTCGGCCCCCTTGGCTCCTCATGTCGGTGAAATCTCGTTGAGCTTGAAGCAGTGCTATGTCGTTGTGAATGTTTTTAGAGCTGGCTGTTTCTTGAGCTGACATCAATTTTTACAGGTTTCCAGCCATGTCCGAAGAGGAAGAAGTGTACGCGTTTGTTTCATGTTTTACGTTAACATTTATCTAATATTTTCAATAAGAATTTTTGCATAAAATTATGTTTAAGCTCTGAAGAGGAGGAGGTTGAGGAGGAAGAAGTTGCCGAAGGTGGCGAGGAAGAGCAGTAAGCGTTGCAAAGTATCTGAGTTTACATGCTTATCACAAATTTTTTTCAGTCATGAAGACGAGCACCCTGCTGAAGAAGAAAAGTAAGCTTATGTTATTTTTCAGCTGTATTTCTCTCCATAAATATCTGTAGACCTAAAAGCCGTCCTCCACAACAAGAAGAAAAAGCGCCCGCGGAGATGACGGAGGCAGAAGCTGCCATGCTAGTGAGTATAGCATTGGAGAGAGCCGGCAATCGTATTGTTTTTTTTTTGTAGGCTGCCAAGAAACGACATGAAGAAGAGGAAGCGATGAAAATGCAAGATTATGAACAACGACGTCAAGCTGAGAGGGAGCGAATCGATGAGGAACTGCGTGAACTGAAGGAGAAACAAGAGAAGAGACGTGCTGAGCGCGAAGAGGACGAAAGACAGTTTGCTGAACGCCGACGTCAGGACGAGGAGCGCAGAAGGAAGGAAGAGGTGCATT